CAAAGAAGAAATTAAAAAATTCTTCCAATTGAATGACAAAAGGACACCAATTTCCTAAATGTATGGGATGCAGCAAAAGCAGTAATAAGAGGAAAATATATAGCAATAGAGGCTCACATCAAGAAACAAGAGAGAACTCAAAGAAACAACGTAATCTTGAAGCTCAAAGATCTAGAAAAAGAACAACAACAAAAAAAAACCCAAAACCAGTAGAAGAAAAGAAATAATAAAAGCCAAACAGAAATAAATGAAATTGAAACTAAAAAAAACAATCCAAAAGATCAATGAAACCAGGCCTCCCTGGTGGCACAGCAGTTGTGCGCTGGGTTGCAAAGCTGCCCGCAGCCACTGCAGCATCGGTTCGATCCCGGTTGTTCCCCGGCCACTGGAGGAGGGTCCCACATGGCGTGCAGACCTCTCCTGCCACCCGATGCTCGCCTCAGCAGTGTACTTAGGTCCTTCTGCCTGCTCTGTTCACCTCTCTGGCTCTGATGAATTCTCTCACCCTCCCACGCTTTTGACTGTACACAGTGCTTGTATAAATAAATAAATATATCTTTTTTTAAAAAATCAATGAAACCAAGAGCTGGTTCTTTGAAAAAAAATCAATAAAATAGACAATCCCCGAGCCAGGTTCACAAAGGAAAAAAGGGAGAAAGCACAAATAAACAGGATCATAAATGAAAGAGGAGAAATCACAACAGACACAGCAGAAATCAGAAGAATAATCAGTAACTACTATGAACAGTTATATGGAAACAAGTTCAACATTCTAGAGGAGATGGACAAATTCCTACAACTTTACAATCACCCAAAGCTAGATAAAGAAGAAATAGAACACCTAAACCGACTAATTACAAGCAGCGAAATTGAAATGATAATCAAAAACCTCCCCAAAAACAAAAGCCCAGGACCTGATGGATTTACAAATGAATTCTACCAAACATTTAGAGACGAATTAGTGCCTATCCTTCACAAATTCTTCCAAAAAATTGAGAAGGAAGGGACAATACCAAACACGTTCTATGAAGCCAACATTACACTAATACCAAAACCAAACAAGGACAACACAAAAAAGGAAAACTACAGGCCAATCTCCCTAATGAACACTGATGCAAAAATCCTCAATAAAATTTTAGCTATCAGAATCCAACAATGTATCCATAAGATAATTCACCACGACCAAGTAGGATTCATGCCAGGGACACAAGGATGGTTCAACATCCAAAAATCAATCAACATTATCCAACACATCAACAAAAAGAAATATAAAAACCATATGATAAAATCAATAGATGCTGAGAAAGCTTTCGACAAAGTGCAACACCCATTCATGATAAAAGCCCTTGAAATTCTTGGGATACAAGGAACATACCTCAACATCATAAAGGCCATCTATGACAAGCCAACAGCCAGTATCATTCTCAATGGTGAAAAGCTGAAAGCAATTCCATTAAGATCTGGAACAAGGCAAGGATGTCCACTCTCACCACTGCTTTTCAATATAATACTGGAAGTCCTAGCCAGAGCAATAAGACAAGAGAAAGACATCTAAGGAATCCAAATAGGAAAAGAAGAAGTCAAACTATCACTATTTGCAGATGATATGATAATATGCATAGAGAACCCCAAAAAATCCACAGAAAAACTAATTCAACTCATCAATCAGTTCAGTAAAGTGGCAGGATACAAAATCAACACGCAAAAGTCAGTAGCCTTCCTATACACAAACAATAAATCTGAAGAAGAAGAAATTTAAAAAACCATCCCTTTTATTATCAAAACAAAAAAAATCAAATACTTGGGAATAAATCTAAAAAAAGCGGTAAAGGACCTATACAAAGAAAACTATAAAACACTGTTAGAAGAAATAGAAGAAGACATAAAGAAATGGAAAGACATCCCCTGCTCATGGATTGGAAGAATAAACATTATTAAAATGGCCATCCTACCAAAAGCAATCTACAGATTCAATGCTATTCCAATAAAAATCTCAATGTCATTCTTCAAAGAAATAGAACAACTATTGATGAAATTCATGTGGAATCACCCAAAACCCCGAATAGCCAAAGCTCTCCTGAAAAAAAAGAAGGGAATGGAGGCATCACACTCCCAGACTTCAAACTATACTACAAAGCAATAATCATCAAAACTGCATGGTATTGGAGCAAGAATAGACACACAGATCAATGAAATTGAATAGAAAATCCAGAAATAAACCCACAGATTTATGGTCAACTAATCTTTGACAAAGGAACAAAGACTATGCATTGGAGCAAAGAAAGTTTGTTCAAAAAATGGTGCTGGGAAAACTGGGTCGCTACATGCAAAAGAATGAAGCTTGACCACTACCTCACACCATACACAAAAATCAACTCAAAATGGATTAAAGAACTAGACATAGGACCTGAAACCATAAATACATAGAAGAAAATATAGGCGAAACACTATATGATATGCACCTCAAAGGCATCTTTACAGACACATCACCCAAAGCAGTGATAGTGAAGGCAAAGATAAACAGCTGGGACTACATCAAATTAAAGAGCTTCTGCACAGCAAAAGAGACAATAACCAAGACAAAGAAAAACCCCACCGACTGGGAGAACATTTTTGCACACAACATTAATGATAAAGGACTGATCACAAAAATCTCCAAAGAGTTGATGAGACTCAACAACAACAAGGAAAATAATCCTGTCAAAAAATGCGCAGAAGACCTAAAAAGAAACTTCTCTGAAGAGGAAATGCAAATGGCCAACAGGCATATGAAAAAATGTTCAACATCACTTGTAATCAGGGAAATGCAAATCAAAACTTACTGGTGTAAGTTTTACACCAGTGAGAATGGCACATATTAAAAAAAACTAGCAACTACAAATGTTGGCGAGGATGTGGAGAAAAAGGAACTCTCCTGCACTGTTGGTGGGAGTGCAAACTGGTCCAACCACTATGGAGAGCTGTGTGGAGATTTCTTGATCTAGGAAACATAGAGCTTCCATATGATCCAGCAATTCCACTCCTAGGTATTAACCCAAAGGACACAGAAACATCAATTCCAAAGAGCACCTGCATCCCTATGTTTATAACAGCACTGTTTACAATAGCTTAGCTTTGGAAACAACTCAAATGCCCAAAAATAGATGACTGGATCAAGACAATGTGGTACATATATTACATATGTACCATACGGAATATTACATATGTACATATTCCATATGTACATATGGAATATCACTCAGCATTCAAAAAAGATAAACTCATGCAATTTGCAGCAACATGGATGGCGCTGGAAGGGATCATGCTCAGTGAAATAAGCCAGAAAGAAATAGAAAAATACCGGATGGTCTCACTCATCGCAGGAATCTAGAAAACTTAAATAAGGGACCAGGAAAAAGAATAACTATAAGAAAGTGAAAAGCTAAATCAACAAACAACTATGAACCAGAGTCACTCTATGGGGTGTCAGGAGTGGGAAGGGGAGGGATTGGGGTCAAAATAAGGGGCTTGCAATTGTATGTGGAATATAAAAATAAAAAAAAATTATATTTAAAAGTCTAAAAAAAAAAGAAATCAAAAAAAATTATGGTTATTGAGTTAACATTGGTTTCCAACACTGTGTATGTTACAGGGGTATAGGTTCACACCTCCATAGATGTATGTTATCATACCACATGCATCATTAAAAACTCTGTCTATAAAAAAAAATTTTGGTGTCAAAACAATATGGCTATTTTAAAAAATGGTGCAAAATAGGAAGACAAAGAACATGTTGAAGCACTGAAGGTCTGAGAGAGGCATTTTAGAAAAATGTTTTGTGCTAGAATGCCTGGCTTTAGAAATATTTTATTGTTAATAGTGTACTTACGTAAAACCAAATTTAATTTCTTTTTCATCTGCAGTCAAGACTCAAGGATTCTTAAACTGCTTTTTCTGGTTCTTGATGACAAAATTAAATACTGTTTAGGAAATCTAAAATCTTGTTTCTCTTTTACACTCAAACTTGGTTAACTGAAAAATATAGTCCTATCAGCATTGTTGAGCACTGTTAATATATATATATATACTTTTTAAAAGCTCTAGTTATCACTGTGGGTAATTTAGTGTTGTTTTATAAAAATCTGTATATATTTATTAACTCTGTGACAAATTTTTTCTTGAAGTCAAATTTCAAAAACAATAAAGTTTATTGATCAGTAAAATGATTGAATATGTCTTAGGACTCTTAATAAATTATTTTCCTTGTAGGAAAATGCAACAACATTGGATCAATCTAGAGATATTAAAACTTCATCGAGAAAACATTGTCATGGAGAGGAAAAGTTATAACTTTTCAGCATATATAAAATTTGATTAAAGTGTTCTAAAGTATATGAGAGTTTTAAAAACCATGTATGTTCCAGTATATTATTGGATGATTCTTATTATTCTAAAATACATATGTGTGTGTGTGTGTGTGTATCCCAAAACATCCTTGTGAGCAAACATCCTTGCCTTTTAGCTTAAACCATAATTTTAGGTATGGTCATTTTCAAGTTTTGGTTATTTCTAAGGGTAACTTGTTGAGTGAGTTTTGTCTTCAGAAAACTCACAAAAAGAGACTGACAATATAGATATGTTTTGGAACTGAGAAGACCTACCGAGCCTATAGAGAAATTGGATTTATGAAAATTACCAACAGAAGATCAAGACTTAATAGATGGGAAAAGTTCACTGAGGAGGATTTGTATAATTTTTAACGTCTTTTTAAAAATATTGGTTTTTAATGTTTTGTTTTTTATCTCCAGAGAACTTCTCTATACCAGGGCTGTGATCTTAGCAGTGGCAATTTGCATCTTTTTATGAGCAAACTGGAACATTTGCTTTTCTCTTTTCTCATCCTAAAAATGTGTAGGCCATATTTGTATTCTCAGGACACTGTCTACCTTTGCACAACCTCAATAGACAATTTTATTTATTTCTCCTTAAACAAGAAAATTAAAAACATGTTATGTTACAAGGCTTTGATTGGAATTCTTCTGGGAGTAAAACTGGAACTGAGCTGAGAAGAACGAGCCAAGAAGAGCCTGTCACCTTGCTTACCAGATTCCAAAGACCTCCATGAAAGGTGAGGAAGCTGCCTCGATTGGCAGGACTGGAAAAACCCTGGAGAAAGCTCTGGGACCCTTGAGGAGAAGAAATCTCAGATGAAGTCTGGTAAGACTGTGACTTTGATGAAGCCTTCATGGACTGGGTGTTAAAAGGCTCACGCTAAGGCCTGTGGAATTTTCCACAAAGACAACAACATTCTGCTTGGTTATTCTGTCCTGAGTTTACGCAAATATAGGTAAAATCATTTAAAATTGCACTTGGTTTACTATTTTACAGACTTGGGATGATGGTAGAGAAAAATGATGTCTCAGTCACTATTTATACTAGTCTCTGGTCCTTTTCAGTGACGGCTGTACCCTACATGCCATGCTCTTGAGGAAGGGAAAAAGCCATCCCTGTACACCTCATTACAGCCACACCTCATTACAGTACACTCATTACATTAACACCATGTCAGGAACTGTGGCACCAGCAAGTGCAGGTCTTCCTTGGTAAACCCCCCACCAGGACCCCACTCAGCAGAAAGCAGCCAGAAGATGCCATGCCCCTTTCTCCCACAGAAGTGGAAGGGCAGACCAGTGTGTGGGGATCATGATGCAGTTACAAATGACTGGTCTGGCAGATAAGCATGAACCAGTTTGTCTTTCCTGTATTTCTTGCAATTCCCCCCTTGTTTGACAGGTTTGTCTTTAGATAACCAGTCCTCCCGCATTTCAAGGAAGAGGGAGTTAAACATCAGCTATTGAAGAAAAGCAGGCTGGCACCCTCCTGTCTCCATGCCAGCCACTTCCCCCTCCGCTTTGCAGCCCCTTGCCTGTTTTCCCCCTTTTTCCCTTCCTAGAAACACCCCTGCCCTCTGCCCAAGAGCAGGACGGTGGTCTTTCAGACATGTGTCTGCTGCCCTCTAATTTGTTGACAAATTCAACCACTTTCCTCTTCCTCAAACTCTGTTTCCTTTTATTGACTGAGGGAAAAAGAAATTGGTATTCAGTGTCAAGACCAGACCCAGCATTGGAATGGAAATGGAAACAAAACTGCCCGAGAGCAAATCATTCCAACACAGAGAAGATCCCTTGAATTGTTCGGATCCAGACCTTGCAAGAACCCAATATATCGCCAAGGATGCCCCTCCTGAAGGTGACAAGCCATGACCAGTGCCTGCTGAAGGCTCTTTGGCCTTCGCACCCAGATAGACATGTGCGAATGGAAACCACACGGGTTCCGGCGGCTGGCTTGCAAAACCCCGGGAGGCAGAGACCAAGTACCAGTCACAGTCCAAAACCCCAACAGCAGTCTGGGCCTCCCTGGTGTTGCAGGGGTTCAAGTCTCAGCGCTATCGAGCTAGAACCGGCCACGGTGGCCAGAGTTTGATGCCCGGCCGGGGAGCTGACCCACACTGTGGAACAGACCACTCCTGTCCCTGCCAGGGCTCCCCTCGGCAGTGGATCTGACTGTTTCTCTCCCCACCCTGTTTCTGGTGCTATTCTGGCCTGCACCCCACTTCATTCAATAAATTTAAAATATCATTAAAAACAAAGACTTTACATTTAACAGCATATTAGTGTATTTATGGATTTTTTTTACATATAAACATGTATTTTCCCTTCACTTAATTCAAGAGTCATGTGCGATTGCTATTATTACCTGCATATCACAGATAGGGACACAAGAAAAAAACTAAAAAAAATAATTTCCCCAAGACTTTATAGTAAATAAGCAAGTAACCTAATTTAAATTTGAACTTTAGCTATTAGGATGACCACATTTTTCATCACTAAGAACTGTTGGGCATTAAAAAAGAAATGATAGCAATGATCTCTTTTGATTTACAAAGAAGGATGGAATTCTATCATATTAATTTATGATTAAATAAATGTTCCATATAATGATAATTAATGTACATTGAATACTCTGATTTACACATTTTCCATTTATTCTTAAAGACAAACCTTGTCTTACAATCAGCCTAGAGGATATTTGCAGGCCCTGAATTAAATTTTTCATGTGAAAGTCTTAATGAAATTTTAGGTTTATTCTAGGGGAGTGCACATATAGAGATATTTGAATATAAACTGCTCAAATTACTAATCAATTTGTTCTTTGATCCAGATCTGTGTAATGGGAATCTTCTAAGTACCACAAAAAACGGGGCCAAGAGGCAAGTTCCCCCACCTGAAGCTGAAGTATGTGCTGGACTGTCCTCCAGGAATGTAAGGTGGGTCCATCCGCACATATGCACGTACCATAACAGGAACATGTTAGAGGTGCTGTGATCTGGGCCTTGTCCTGTAGTGGTTACCTGAGGGTTCTGAAAGGATAACTCAGAAAACTAGAGCCGTAGATATAATCTACGAGGCTTTCCATGAAAACCAGCATCGGCTCATCATCAGTACACTCTACCTATAGACCAGAGAGAGATTTGAGAAAGATGAAAATTTAAATAGAAAGCAAGCCAGTAAATACAGAAAAGAAAAAAAAAATATCATATAAGGAAAAGATAGCCAAGATCAGCAATTTTCTGGAGCACAAGGACCACAGGGAAAGCTTTTGGTACAGGACCTGGCAAGAGCAGTGCATATCGTTGCAGTTCTACGCAAGAAATCCCAGGTCCAGACATGCAAATGAGCCCTCTTACTTTCCCTTCAGTTTGTGAAATAAAAGTGTAAAGTAATCTACTTTTTACTCACGGAGTATTTCTGCTGGGAGAAAAAGATGAAAAGAATAGGTCAGGGGCTACCAGCAAACATTTCCAATTTTAAGGCCATTTCAGTGACTCATTCAGGGCTGCTACTATATAAGGCCAAATGTGGCATTTAATCTATGAAGCTAATTCATTTCATGCATGTTTGCTTGGGGCATTATTTCATTTCCCTGGAAGTTCCTACACGATTTACAGTATAGAATATTATTCATTGTACACAAAAATATAATGGGTCTTTATAATGTAGTAAATATAAAGGATATTTTAGTATATCATCACTGTGAATGTTACATTAATCTCACAGTCTAAAATCTATTTACCTTATTCACAGAAATTCAAGCGTTTTCTACATGGATACAGAATATTCAGCTCAATTCTTTCCTCTGTTAGTAAGATGAGCTCTCTATACTGACCTCATTTTTGTGGATTTATTTCATACTATTGTTCCCAAGAAGAGTTACTTTGTATTTTGGGCTTTATATGTACCTCGTTGGCCAGAAACATGAGCAGGCTAAATATAAACAGACCAAAAAAAAAAAAAAACCCTCTTATATTCAGAACAACTGAATAGCAACATTTCTCTAGATTAAAGACAAGAAGCTACCTATAAATCGTTTTTCAACTCCATAATATAGTGATAGCCAGAAATTAATGAGGCAAAAGTAGCTTTCCCAGTTCCCTCGAGCTCTGAGTGATCATGTGACTAGTTCTTCCCAATACAAAGTGAACGAATGTGACATGTTACCTCTGGACATGTTAAGAAATTCATGTTGCTTCTCAATGACCTCTTAGTCCACACCCAAAGAATTGATGTTATATACTATGATATTCTCTAGATAGTTGATCTGTGAGCTGGAGGGAGATAGTATTCTTGCAAGACCACACAGGAAAAAAATTGTTCCATCACAATTGTTTCTAAGTAAGAATCATTTTATAAGAAAGAATGTTTTTATTCTGTTGAACTGTTGCATTTGGATTTAATTATCACCACAATCTTGTGGGTCTTCATTAATCTTTACGATGTATATACTTTCTGCTATTGCTTACAAATCTTTAATATTTTCAGAGACCTCAGTCTATGTACCTCCCTAGGAAATTCTGTAACTTCACTTATTTTCAATCGAGTGCACATACTTTGTGGGTATTTCGATGTGTAATAGACTTTAATGGGGACGAGGGCAGATGGTCATATATATTGGAACAAAATGAAATTGTTACTGGAATGATAACCATGACATTAACAAACTGTGTAGATAAGTAGTGATTTTACCACTTCTTAAAAGTAGAACTACATCCCCTTAAATTTAGCCAATATTATTTGCTGTGCCCATGAACATTCACTGACAGGTTTGATGAGACCACACTTCATGCTTTCCTTGTTCAGACAGCGAAAGTTGTTTCATGGAAAACGTGTTTTAAATGAAAATGAACAGGTAGGAAATAAAACTATAACACAAATCTAGACCCATAGTTGGATAGCTGACAGCTGCATGACTGCAGGAAAAATAGTCAATATTTTCTGTAATGATAGATTGAAATGGGATTGAAGTACAGCTGGATTTTGTCTGATGCTCCATAACAGCACACATCTCTCTCAGACTTAAAAGAAATATCTGGATGAATTTGATGACTTAGACTATTCAGTAATCACAAATTCTATCACTTTTCTTTGTATATAAATATTGATAATTTTCTTCTATCTAATGTGGCATTTCAGAAATTAGAATGCCTTGCTAAATACTGTTTGTAATAGATTCAGGTTTGCTCAATGATACCTATGTAATGACTTCTCCAAGACCTTACAAAAATAATGTACACAATTAATGATATTTTTACTAGACTCAGAAAAATATAACCCCATGAACTCAAGAACTGTGATTTCTGAATGACACTACACTCAGATTCTTCTAGAAATGTGCTAATTATGTTTATATATGAGATTGGTCAGTATGCTCTAAAAGTTATTCAGAAGAAAACAGACTCTCTCTCTCTCTCTCTCTCTCTCTCTCTCTCTCTATTATATATATATATATATATATATATATATATATACACCTTTAAAAAAAATATTTACTTATTCATACAAGAACCAGGGTATAGGCCAGAGGCACGGGAGGTGAGAGGATTCACCAGAGCCAGAGCGGGGAACAGAACAGGCAGACTGACGAAGTACACTGCTGAGAGGAACAGTGGGCGGCAGGAGAGGTCTGTGCACCATGTGGGACCCTCGCCAGCCGGCTGGGATAGAACTGGCACTGCAGAGGCTGTGGACAGCTTCAGAGCATGGCGCTCAACTGCCTGCGCCACCAGGGGAGGCCCTATATAATATACTTTTGATTAAACTATTAACTGTTCTTCCATCAACATTCAGTTCATCTTATTTATTAAATAAATTACATTCCCAAATATTTTCTTTTATTTTATGCCTGTCAGGCAGAATTTCATGTTCATTTTTATTATATTCCTATGCATAATATGAAAGTTACTGCCAGAATGCAGAGGTCATTCATATGAGGAAAGAGGTTTTTTGGTGGGTAGGGCAAGGGGTGAGACATTCTTAGTTATTTAAAAAACACAAGAAATTCTCAGTGTCATCCTGTAAATGCTGTGAAAGTTAACAACAAGGATTATGTTTATCCATTACTCTAAGGACAAAGAATGAAATTTAGCCTGGCCAACAGACCCTGGATCATCTGTACTCCATCCTCCTTCATTTAAATAAATAGATATGCCTATACCCAGCTAGGGCCTCCCCTGGTGGCGCAGTGGTTGAGCACTGGGCTGCGAAGCTGCCTGCAGCCTTTGCAGCGCCAAGTAGATCCCCGGCCACCAGGGAGGATCCCACATGGCGCGCAGACCTCTCCTGCAGCGCCTGCTGCTCCCCTCAGCAGTGTACTTCATCACTGTTCTGTTCCCCACTCTGGCTCTGGTGAATTCTCTCATCCTCCCACGCTACTGACTGTACACAGTGCTTGTATAAATAAATAAATAAATCTTTAAAAAAATATATACCCAGCTTATGGGTTGGAGGAATCAACATTGTTAAAATGGCCATCCAGCCCAAAGCAATTTAGAGATACAGTGCAATCCCAATAAAAATCCCAATGGTATTCTTCAAAGAAATAGAATAAAGGTTACTGAAGTTCATAAGAAATCACAAAAGACCCCAAATAGCCAAAGCTTTCCTGATATCAAAGGGGGGAAATGGGGCCTCCCTGGTGGCGCAGCGGTTGAGCGCTGAGTTGCCAAGCTGCCCGCAGCCTCTGCAGCGCCGGTTCAATCCCCGGCTGCTCCCCAGTCACCGGAGGAGGGTCCCGCATGGCGCGCAGACTCTCCTGCTGCCCGCTGCTCCCCTCAGCAGTGTACTTCGGTCCTTCTGCCTGCTCTGCTCCCCGCTCTGGCTCTGGTGAATCCTCTCACCCTCCCGCGTTTCTGACTGTACCCAGTGCATGTATAAACAAAACAAACAAACAAACAAATAAATAAATAAATAAAAAACATGCCTCTATTAAAAAAAAAAAAAATCTTTAAAAAAAAAAAAGGGGGGGGGGAATGAAGGTATCACACTCCTGATTTCCACTATGCTATAAAGCCAGAGTAATTAAAGCAGCATGGCAATGGAACAAAATCAGACACACAGGCTAATGGAATAGAATGGAGAGCCCAGAAATAAAGCCACATGTTTATGTACAATTAATAAACGAGACAAGGGGCCTCCTTGGAGGCCCAGCCGTTGAGCCCTGGGCTGCAAAGCTGCCCACAGCCTCTGCAGCACCGGTTCGATCCCCGGCCACTGGCGAGGGTCCCCTCAGCAGTGTACTTCGTCAGTCTGCCTGTTCTGCTCCCCGCTCTGGCTCTGGCGAATTCTCTCACCCTCCTGCACTTCTGACTGTACCCAGTACTTGTAGAAATAAATAAATCTTTTTAAAAAATAAATAAAAATTAAAAAATAGAATGTTGTAACTCAAAATGCATATAAAGTGAGGTGTCTTAAGAAATGTATTTAATTGAGAACGGCAGCTGCAAACAAGGCGGGGGATGTAGAGGGTCCCTCTACCCCCTGGAACCTCTACCCCCAGGACCCTCTACACCCCCGCAGACCCTCTCCCTCCAGGCACCCTCTACCTCCGGGACCCTCTCCCCCCACCCTCTGCCCCCCAACCCTCTACCCCCAGGACCCTCTCCCCCCTGCACCCTCTACACCCCGGACCCTCTGCCCCTGGACCCTCTATCCCCAGGACCCTATCCCCCCAGGACCCTCCACATCCTCCGCCTTGTTTGCAGCGACCTTGTTTGCAGCACTGGTCTTCCTCTGCTCCTTGCTCTCCGCGGAGCCTTTATTTTCGCAGCCCGGCGGCCCAGGGGTGCAGTGTGCACAGGCCCCTCCCCAGGGCCCACCCCCCCTTGCAGGGGCCCAACCACCCACAGACCCCCCCCCCCCCCGCAGGGGCCTGCCCCTTCCCCGGGGCCCACGCCTCGCCAGGGGCCTACTCTCCACCACCGCGCAGAGGCCCACCCCTCCGCAAGGGCCCTCCCCTCCCCAGGGGCCCTCCCCTCCCGCAGGGTCGCATCCCTCCCCAGGGGCCCACGGCTCCCCAGGAGCCCACCCCCAGCAGCCGAGAGAGCTCGCTCACCCAAAGGCCCCCTGTTTTCCAGCTGCAGGTTTGCCACTAGGCGTTGGGCGCAACCACGCAAGGATCCGTCTCCCCTACCCGCCCCCGTGCACCTCGCCACTTGCCGTCTCCGTACCGTGCCCCCTGGCTTCTCTGGCCACGGGACCCTGAGGCAACGACCCGCACGGCTGAGCGGCGCCCCGAGCTCCGCAGCACCACAGACACAGCGGAGACCCGCTCCTTCCAGACCGGGCGCTCCGCGGGCGGAACGAGGCGCCCGTGTGCAGGACCCCATGGTCGCTCCCGACGCCCCCCACAGACCCGCTCCCCGCAGGGGCGTCGGCTCCCGCCTCTCCGGCCGCGAGCTCAGCGCCCCCCATACCAACCCCACCGCTGCGCGCGCTCTGAGGTCTGAGACCGCAGCTCTCCTGGGTGACCGCCCCGCCCCAGGGGCGCTCACCGCCGTCCCCGCCGATCCAGGCCTCGTCCCCCGCTGCCCGGACCCTGCGCCAGGCCCTGAGACCAGCTCCCGCGGGCCGCTCCGGGCGTCCCCGCAGGCCCCGTCCCCGCCCGCCCCGCGGCTCCTCCGCCCTCGCCCTCCCGCCCGCGGGCCTCCCCCACGGGGGCCGCGAGGGACGCAGCTGCTCCGGGAGCCCCGCGGCTCGTCCCAGCGGGCAGGGCTCCCGGCTCGGCTCCCGCCTCGGCTGGTCGGAGCGGCTCTTTGAGACTCTCCCGCCTGCTGCGGAGAACCCCCCCCCCCCCAGGAGCTTCGGGCACCCCGACTCTCCTTTCGGGGGCTCAGAGGGGCCCCTAGCTCCCCCTGCCCCGGGGCCACGAGAAGGCGCCCCCCGCCCCGTCCCCAGCCGCTGGCGTGGCCGTGAGCCCCGCCCTCCGTGGGCTGCCCCCGTGCGCCGGGGGCCGGGGTTTCGGGGGCTTCGGGCTCCTGCTCCCCCGCTGCGTCTGCGGCTCGGGGTCCCTGGCGGGGTCCCCGGCGGCAGCTCGCCCTCCCCCCAGGTCTCCTCGGGCCGCTCCCGGGCCGCGTCCGCATTCTGGGGGCCGCGGCGCCTCCAGGGTCGTCCCGCCCGGCCAGGGCAGAGCTTGGGGGACGCTCACCCCAGACCTGCTCTGAACCGGGCCAAGTCCGTCCGCGGCCCCCGCCAGGCGCACCGTCCCCCGCAGCTCCGAGTCGGGGGGCGGGTCTGAGCGGCTCTTCAGCGGGCGTCGTGGGCGTCCCTGGCGTGGGACCGCGCTCCGGGGGCCCCGGCAGGCGGGAGGGGGGTCCTGGGGCCGCGGGGGGCGGCTCCGGGACCCGGGCACGCGGGCGTGGGGTCCTGGGGCCGCGGGGGGCGGCTCCTGGGACCCGGGCACGCAGGCCGGGGTGCGGGGGTCCTGGGGCCGCGAGGGGCGGCTCCGGGGGCCCGGGCACAAGGACGGGTGGTCCTGGGGCCGCGGCAGTGGGGGTGGCTACGGGGGTCCGGGCATGCGGGCGGAGGGTCCTGGGGCCACGGGGATCTCCGGGGGCCCGGGCACGCGGCACCCTGACTCTGCGCTGTCCCCGGCGCCCCCGCGGGGTCCGCTCCTCTCCCGCCGCCGCTCCCGCCCCGGCCGCAGAGGCGCCCCTACATGCTCCGCCCGCATCCAGGGGTCCCCCGCGCCCGCCCCGCGCCCCCGCGCCCAGGTGGAGGCCGCAGAGCCCCGGCGCACGGCGGAGCGGCGGCCTGTACCCCCACACTCCGCTCGGCCCTGAGCCCTCCGCAGGGCCGGAGATCTGCTCGGCCTCGCCCGCGAACATCCCGGCGTCTGGTCAGTCTCGGGAGAGGCTGAAGAGCCGCCGCCGCGCAGGTGGCTGCCAGCGGGGACTCCCGGCAGCTCGGGAGCACCCCATGTCACTCTCAGGCGCCTCCACGCAGTTACCCCACCTGCAGCTCGGGGGCGCCCCACCTCACTCTCGGGGCGCCTCCCGCAGTTACCCCACCTGCAGCTCGGGGGCGCCCCACCTCACTCTGGGGACGCCTCCCGCAGTTACCCCACCTGCGGCGGCGCCGCGCGTTCCCACCACGGTGCTCCACATGCATTTAACCAAAATATTCCCGGGACCCGGCGCATCGCCCCCAAAGTGAATCACCCTGCTCCCATGAGGAATCCAGGCCCGGCCCATTGCACCCCCACGCCCGCCCGGGACAGCCGCCTCCCCACGCTGATGACGCTGCTCTGCAGCTGCGCCCCCGCCCCTGCTCTCACGCCGCGACGGCTCAGCCCTTCTTCTTCAAGAGTCACTGACTGCGTGTCCACGCGCGGGTGTAGACCAGAGGGGGTGCACCAGGGGAGTGGGCAGCCGAACGGGGATCTGCTGAATCCCTGGTTCGGGAGCAGCGGGGGTGGGGGGTGGGGGGTGGGGGCGCTGCGCGCTCCTGGCCGTGGGTCCAGCTCCGGGCGGCGCGGCCACGGCCGGACGGAGCCTCCTTCCACCCCAGGGCGGCCCCGCGGGGTCTTTCCGTGGACGCCGTCGCTGTGGGTCTCAAGTCCGCGCGACTTGTATTTATTTACTCTTTCCCTCGGGGCTGCTGCTCGGCTCGTCCCCCAGACGCAGGGCGCCTCCCCGGGGGGCCCCGAGGGGACACCCAGCCGTCCTTTCTGCGGGGTCTCTGGCTCCGCGGCAGGAAAGGGCGTGTCTCAGCTTTCCTGCCGCCCCCCCAGCATCCCCGCAAACGCGGCCGGGCCTCCGACCACACCCCGTCCCCGCGGCCGTCGAGGGGCACGCTCCGCCCGACGCACAGTCGCCTCCCGCGACCGTCCGGGACGCCCCCCCAGCCCGGGGCTCCCGGGAGCGGCGTCGCAGCGGCGGCCCCGTTTCCGAGTGTGGGGGAGGGGAGCGCGGCTGGCCGTGCCGGAGGGCGGCGACTCGCGTCCGCGAGACCCGTCCTGATGGGGCGGGGGCGGGCGTGCGCCCCAGGGGGGCGGGGCAGGGTGCGTGGACGCAGGGGGCGCCGCTCAGCGGGAGACGGGGGGCGCAGCGTCCCTCACTGCGGGGAGGGGCAGCTGTGACAAACGGGGAAAGACCCGCTGTGAACCGCGCTAAAGTAAGTGGGGGGCTGCGGGGAGTGGGGGACAGGCGATCTGCCAGCTGTGCCCACGGCACCCCGGGGCCAGTCTGTGTCCTTGCCCGTCCTCCCCACACCTCGTCCCCCTGACACCCCGTTCGGCCGCCGCCCTCCCGTCCTCTGACCCCAGCCCCTCGCTGGCCTCTCGGAGCCCCTTCTTCTTTCCAGGAACTGGACTTGTCCCCCCGCCAAGTCAGTGAGCATATCTGTCTTGGTCATTCTCACTCGCCGTCCCACAAAGTGGGGACACCCCGTCACCCCCAAACCCGCCCGTCCCCCGTGGGCTCCGCCATCCAGCGCCCGAGACGGACACCCGCGGTGCCGCGGCCTCCGCGGAAAGGACCTTCACGCAGTCGGGGCGCGGCGGGGCGGCCCCGGCTCCAGTCCCCGGGAAGGCGCAGCCGGCGGGCTGTCCCGAGGCGGGCCAGGGGGCCCGGCGCCGCCCGGGCCAGAGAGGTCCCGGAGAGCCCGCCCCGCCCCGCCCTGCCCTGCCCTGGGCCGCGCACCCCGGGCGCTGCGGAGCGCGGTCTGCGGGTGCCGTGCCGGGCGGCCCCGCGGCTCCTCTGCGCTCCCCGGGATGACGGCGGCGGAGGCTCCAGGGGGCGTGGCCAGGCGGCGGCCCGGCCTCCTCGAGGGAACGGCCCCCCGGGCGGCTGTTCGGGGCACGCGGGCCGGGCCCACATCGCCCCTGGGGCCCACGGGGCGCACCCTCACCCGGCCCCCAACCCCGGAGCCGCGGCGTCGGCAGATCACCAAGTCCTGCCTCGCGTCGCCCACGCAGCGGGACCCACAGGCTGAGGGGCCACACGCCGCCCAGGCAGGCAGCTCCCCCTCTCGGGGCTCCCGCCGCACGAAGACGGGCGTGGACACGGGTGACCGCTCGTGTGCGCGCCCCGAGCAGAGGCCGCGAGCGCCCCGTCCCCGCCGCTGTGCCGGGAGAGCCGGGAGGCGTTTCAGGGCCGCAGGCTCCTCTGCAGGAACTGTCCCCCAACCCGCGTGTACCCCGTCTTGCGTCCGCCCTCGCCAGGGGCCCCGCGACCGAGGCCAGGCGGGGGCTGCGGCGGGGCCGGGCGAGAGAGGGGCGGGGCCGGCGAGCCAGCCAGGCCAGCGGCCCCGGAGTCCCGGGCGGGCTCCCCTCCAAGCACCCCCCGGGCCCGACGCTGCTGAGCTTCGTGATCAGAGACGTGTCTGGGCGTTTTTGGGTGGCCCGGCCGCAGACCCAGCGCCTCCCCCGCGCGATCCAGAGCCCGCGCCGGCGCTGCCGGTCCCCTCGCCGCCCGCCCCACCGGCCGCCAGGCCCGGCGCCGGCTGCCCGCGGCCAAGGTAGGCGGGGGCGGGGAGGCGCGGGGGCGGGGCGGGGGGCCAGGTCGCAGTTTCCGCCGGCTCGAGGCCCGCGGTCTGACGGCCAGGGCGCGTCCACAGCCCCTGCGCTCTGGGGCGCCGCCCCGTCCCCCCGCCCCCGGCCACGCCCCCCGCCCCGGCCACGCCCCGTTACCCAGGCCCCGCCCCGCCTGGCCCCAGGAGACCTCGCCCCACCCTAGCTCCACCCCAACCCCGCCCCGGTACCCAGGCGGCCCGGCCCCGCCCTGATCCTGCCCCAGCCCCACCACACCTCAGGACCCAGGCGACCCGACCCGACCCGGCCCGGCCCCGCCCCGCCCCGGGACCCAGGCGACCCCTGCTCGCCCTGCCCCGCCCCTCCTCGTCCTGCTCCGCCCCGGCCCTTACGCGCTATTGTGGCGATGACCCCGGGGGGCGGGCCCAGGCGCCGCCGCCCGCAGCGCGGCTGGGAATGCGGCACCTTCTCCTGCCGGGGGGCGGGGTCCAGGGGAAGCCCGCGGCCAGGGTCCGGACTATCCTAGTTGCGCGGCCGCGGCCGGGCCCGCGGGGTCTCCTCGGCGCGGATGGCGGAGTCCGCCGTCGGGTCCCCGCGAGGCCCCGGGGGCGCGGCCGGGGGCGGCGGGAGGGCGACCCGGGGCCCCTCCCGCGGTCGGCGCGGGGACAGCGAGGAGGGGCGCGCCCGGGCCTCCCTCGCGCGTCTCCCCGCCCGACCTCCGCGCCGCCCCCGGCGCTCCGGCCGCGCTCTCCAGGCGCAGGGCCGAGGACTGGGGCGGGCGGGCAGGGCGAGGGCCGTGGCCGCGGTCGGGCGGGCGGCCGCCCCACACTCCCCGGCGACGGCGCCCGGCGAGCGCAGGAGGCCCCGGCCGGGTGGCCTGTCGCCATCTTGGCGAGTGTCGCCACGCTCGCGATGAGGCCTGCCCCACTAGTGCGGGAAACAGAGTCGGGCTTGCTGGCCCCTGGGCTCCCCTCCTCGCCGCGCCCTCAGGCCGCCCGCCGTCTAGAGCCTGCGCCGGGCCACTGCCCGCCCCGGCCTCGGCCGGCCCCACGGCTTCTCCCTCCCCGGCGCGTTTCCGTCCCTGCCGCGGACTGTGCCGGCGAGGGGCGTTTGGGTAGGCCGTGTCGGAGGGGCTGGACCGCACCGTCAGGGCCCGGAGGCCGCGGGGGCCGCCAGGGCGGAGGCAGTGTTATAGAGCAACCCCGATATTAAACGGGTTCCTGGCTGTGGGTCCTCACCCGCGCGCTTTAAAGGGACTTATGAATACTCTACTATAGACACACACAAAAGGGTTAATAAAAGGTTTATTTACAAGAGAAAAAGAAATAAGGAAAATGTACAACTCAGGGAGAAAATAGGGAAATAAAGTCTTTAATGCGTCCTACCCGATCCTGTAACAGGGTGGTCCCAGGAAAGGGGGAGGTTCCCTGCCCCACCCAAGGGAGGGTGGAGCTGAGCAGGAAGAGAAGAAGCAGAAGAAGATACTGAGAATGCAAATGGCCAACAGACATATGAAAAAATGTTCAACATCACTTGTAATCAGGGAAATGCAAATCAAAACTACCATGAGATACCATCTCACACCAGTGAGAATGGCACATATTAAAAAAACTAGCAACAACAAATGTTGGCGAGGATGTGGAGAAAAAGGAACTCTTGTGCACTGTTGGTGGGAGTGCAAACTGGTCCAACCACTATGGAGAGCTGTGTGGAGATTTCTGGACCTACTAAACATAGAGCTTCCATATGATCCAGCAATTCCACTCCTAGGTATTTACCCAAAGGACACAGAAACATCAATTCCAAAGAGCACCTGCACTCCTATGTTTATAGCAGCACTGTTTACAATAGCTAAGCTTTGGAAACAACCCAAATGCCCAAAAATAGATGACTGGATCAAGAAGATGTGGTACATATATACCATGGAATATTACTCAGCATTCAAAAAAGATAAACACATGCAATTTGCAGCAACATGGATGGCGCTGGAAGGGATCATGCTCAGCGAAATAAGCCAAAAAGAAAAAGAAAAATACCGGATGGTCTCACTCATAGCAGGAATCTAGAAAACTTAAATAAGGGACCAGGAAAATGAATATAAGAAAGTGAAAATCAAAATCAACAAAAAACTATGAACCAGAGACACTTTTTGGGGGGTGGGGGGCGGGAGGGGAAGGATTGGGGTCAGAATGGGGCGTTTGCAATTGTATGGGGGAATATAAAAATAAAATTTAATATTTAAAAAAAAAAAAATCAAGAAATAGGCAGAGGATTTGAATAGATACTTCTCCAAAGAAGACATACAGATAGCTAGTCAACAGGCTCAAGAAGAAATGTTCACATCATCACATCATCAGAGAAATGCTAATCAAAACCACAACGAGCTGTCACCTCCTATCTGTGGGAATGACCCACATCAAAAAGACCAAAAAACAAGTGATGCCAAGGTATGGAGAAAAAGGACCCTTCGATACTATTGCTGGGCATGTAAACTGGTCCAGTCACTATGGAAAACAGCATGGAGGTTTCTGAAAAATATTACATTCCAGCAATCCTGCTCCTAGGTACCTATCTGAAGAATATAAAAACACTTATTCAAAAAGATATATGCACTCCTGTGTTTACGGCAGCATTATTTACAATAACTAAGTTGCAGAAACAATGTAAATGCCCAAGGACAGATGATTAGACAATGAAGATGTAGTATATACATATAAAATGAAATATTGCTGAGCTATAAAAATAAAAAGATCAAATTTTGTCATTTGCTACAACATGGATGGAACTGGAGAGGATTATGATAAACAACATAAGTTCGAAGGGGAAAGAAATACCAGATGATGTCACTTACATATGGAATCTAAAGACACAAACCTACAGAAGAGAGGAAATGAAGCCAAAACAAACTCTTGGATTCTGACTGCAGAACTGAAGTTACTATGGAGGGAGGAGGGGTCAAAGCAAAGCACGGAAGGGGCCCATTGAACTATGGTAGAGGGTTACTGGTATTTTGGTGAGGGTGTGGAGGTGCGGTAGCATACCCTTGAGGAGGTATTAAAGAAAAAAAAAAAAATAATTTATGGACACATTAGAAGGGCAGCTGTTTAACTTCAATGCAGAGATGCCCATCCAGAAGACTGGGCCATAAATTTAAAGATGCAACAAATGGGGAAAGACAAAGCTGTTAGATAAGGAATGTAAAGATCCCCTACTCAGTAGCAAATTAAGTGAGACAGCCGAGAACTAACCAATCACAAAGAGACTGGTGGAGCTTTAGAATAATGAGGGAAAAAAGGTATATATTCCCTGAGACACGACTCCACTTTGGCTTCCTTGCCCCTCCCAGGCCTGGTTCCCTGGCCTGGGAGTCCCACTTTATTTCTGCTCTTTCTCCTCAATAAACTTTTTCTTTTTCTAAACAAACTGCCTCTTCTCGCTTGCTTGCCTGAGTGTCTGCGAAGTTCCTGCTGTGGCTTCCTGAGACACCAACCCATGGGGGGTCTAGTGGCTGGGGCTCAGCACTGCCCTGCAGCCTAGAATCCCTTCCTGGCTGGGAGACTAGGCCTGACAATTCCGGTATCATCCTCACACGTGAGGGGTAAGGAGAGGGTGTGTCATTAATGTTTCTTCTGTGGTGGGATCACAGCACTGCCAGGATTCTCCACTTTCAACATTTAACACTAATAGAAGGACTTTTCACACCATTAAAGACTGTTCAGTGTTACTGTATCCAGCTTTTACATTTAATTTTGTGTATATTGGGGGTTTTTATTTGGATAGTTTCGAATCATTTTACTGTAAATAAAGTGTTATTGAACATTGTTAAGACACAGGGCAAGCTAGGAATTATGCAGTTTTAGGGACAGTGCAGGAGGGGACCTCTGAAGAATTTAGGGAGGCTTCAGAGATAAGGACAACCAAGGGAAAGTAACCCATTCCACTAGGAAAAACAAACATCCAGGACCAAGGACAACATTGTTAATGCTAGTCCTGGTTTCCTTCAGGTGGTAAAGGGAGGCGGAGACTGGAGAAATGGAGAGTGGTTTAATTTATGGACACATTAGAAGGGCAGCTGTTTAACTTCAATGCAGGGATGTCCATCCAGAAGACTGGGCCATAAATTTAAAGATGCAACAAATGGGGAAAGACAAAGCTGTTAGATAAGGAATGTAAAGATCCCCTGCTCAGTAGCAAATTAAGTGAGACAGCCGAGAACTAACCAATCACAAAGAGACTGGTGGAGCTTTAGAATAATGAGGGAAAAAAGGTATATATTCCCTGAGACACGACTCCACTTTGGCTTCCTTGCCCCTCCCAGGCCTGGTTCCCTGGCCTGGGAGTCCCACTTTATTTCTGTTCTTTTTCTCCTCAATAAACTTTTTCTTTCTATAAACAAACTGCCTCTTCTCGCTTGCTTGCCTGAGCGTCTGCGAAGTTCCTGCTGCGGCTTTGTGAGACACCAACCCGTGGGGGTCTAGTGGCTGGGGCTCTGTGCTGCCCTGCAGCCTGGGATCCGTTCCTGGCTGGCAGACTAGGCCTGACAATTCTGGTATTGTTGTTACACATAAAGATTTATCTGATTTTGAAAGCATTTCCTTAGGTCATTTCCAAAATTAAAATTACTATTTCCATTGAAAATGTGTTTTAGGGCCTCCCCATTGGCGCAGCAGGTTGAGCGCAGCCTGTGGAGCTGTCCGCAGTGCCAGGTCGATTCCGCAGGCCTCGGAGCAGCCCACATGGTGTGCAGACCCCTCCTGTCTCCCCGCTGCACTGCTCAGCAGTGTGTTTCAGTCAGTCTGTCTGTTCTGCCCCCAACTCTGTCTCTGGTGAATCCTCTCAAACACAACCCCCATGTCTGGCTTACAACCCAGTTCTTGTGTGCATAAATAATCTTTTAAGATTTATTTATTTATGCACACAAGAACTGGGGTACAGACCAGAGATTTGGGGGGTGAGAGGATTCACCAGAGACAGAGTAGGGAACAGAACAAGCAGACTGACTGAAATGCACTGCTAAGGGGAGCAGCAGGCGTGACACGAGAGGTCTGCTGTGCCATGTGGAACCCTCTCTAGCCAGCCGGGATCAAACAGGCGCTGCAGAGGCTGCGGACAGCTTCACAGCACTGCTTCACAGCACTGTGCTCAACCGCCTATGCCACCAGGGAAGGCCCGGAGGCCCTATTTTAAATACAATTCTTAACACACCTCGCTTTATTTGCATTTAGAGTTAGGACCTTCTACCTTTTGATTTTTAGATTGTAAGAGGTTATGGAAAAATTTCTTCTTTATTTATCCCGCAGGCCCAGAGGTGATCTTTTTCCAAAGTCCGAGCCCTGAGCCATTGGGTGACAGAGTACCCATGGCCCCAGCAGGGGCACATTTGCAACTTGAAGCAAGCAGGGAGTAGAGAAGCAGGAGACTTCTAAGAGCTCACCTGGTCATCTGGGGGGCACAAATCAGGCTCCTGGCCAGTCACTCCCTGAAACTTTTAGTCCACCCCCAGGCCTTGTCCCAACATAACTCCAGCTAACGAGCAGGTCACAGTGGGCTGGGGCAGGCAGGATGGGGCAGAAGGCACAGGCGGGTCTGTTGCACGCTCCGGGATTCCCAGCCTTTCACCGACAGTGTCCGCCGCAGCCAGACCCTAAAATATACACAAGTCATTAAAACAGCAAACAAGGTTGCTTGAATTTCTGGGAAAGATTTTTTTTAATCGTTAAAAATCCCCTTACCTGAAGCTGACATAAAAGCAAGGCGTGGCGCCTCTCTGATGGCGCAGGGGTTAAGCACCACACTGTGAAGCCATCTGCAGACTCTGCTTCACGAGTTCCATCTGATGGAGGGCAAGAATGGAAAGACTGGAAAGGGAGGCCTCACGTGACTAAAACCTGACTCACGCAAGGAGGTGGGGGTCGAGGGGAATAATAGGACCATTAACCCAGCTGTGGAGGTTGGACCCTTAGGCCAGTGCCTTGTCACAAGGCAGGACACCTGAGCAGGATCCGAAGCTCTAGGGAGTGGCGCACAGGCCTGAGGGGAAGGATATGGAGATGGGGCCCACCCTGGAATCTCTGGTCCCTTTCTAGTGTTGCCTGTTACCCGACATCAGCAACAAACAGCCACTCCATGGAGGACTGACCCTCCCAAAGAGAAAAGGACTGTATCAGGGCAGTCTCTGCACGGGCTCGGGGCAGCTGTCCGTCTGCCCACCCATGACTATGCAGGTGCCTCTTCTCACCAACTCTCTCCCTCTGCAGGGCAGCAGCAGCCTCCTGCCCGCCGTGACCTGTCAAGGCCGCCCGCCCGCAACCATGCAGGCCTCTCTCAGGGAAACCTGTCCCTTTCCCTCAGAAACCTGCCGTTTTTTGTTTTTTTTGTGGGACCCGCGCCAGCCGCCAGGAAACGAACAGGCGCTGCAGAGGCTGCGGGCAGCCCCACAGGCCAGAGCTCAATGGCTGCGCCAGCAGGGGAGGCCCTAAATCTGCCCTTTAATGTAACTAGTGTCTCTGTCTCCTGGAGAAACGTGGCTGGGGAACTCGCTGTGTCCCGCTGTAACGGGAGCTCTGGGGGCATCTTTCCCAGAGTGACCCCCAGGACCCGCACACACTCTACAACCTACAACATTTTGGCGACCTTGAAGGGACTCATCACATCATCTGGTGCCAACATCACATCCCCCGCCAGGAAGGTGACCTGCAGGGCGCTGCAGACCTCTCCTGTCTCCCCGCTGCTCCCCTCAGCAGTGGATTGCAGTCAGCCTACCTGTTCTGTTCCCCACTCTGTCTCTGGTGAATCCCCTTACCCCACCCCTGCACCTCTGGCTGCACCCCAGCTCTTATGTTCATAAGTAAAGAAATCTGTTAAAAAAAAATAAGTAAAAATTGGCCTTCCTGGTGGCACAGGTGGTTGAGCGCCGCACTGTGAGGCTGTCCACAGCCTCTGCAGTGCCGGTTCAATTCTGGCCTGCCGGCGAGACTCCCACATAGCGGGGCAGACCTCTCCTGCCTTCCTGCTGCTCCCTTCAGCAGTGTATATTTCGTCAGTCTGCCTGTTCTGTTCCCTGCTCTGTCTCTGGTGAATCCTCTCACCCTCCAGTGCATCTGGCCTGTACACTGGTTCTTGTATAAAAATAAATAAATCTTTAAAAAAAATAAGTAAAATAAAAGCACGACTAAAACATCATTTATCTACAGATCCAGAAATGGATCCTATTGCAAACATTACAAAGCAGCTGCTATTCAAAATGCATTGTGAGAAAAATGAAAACTCTCGGCTCCACATAGAATGTATCTTGTTGCACATCATGGTTCAGCACAATATACTTTAGCCCAGACTCTGACATCCCTGAGTCTGTTCCGTGGTTTGGTGTAATATTCAGCCTTGAGCCGGGAGCCTGTGTTTATTTTGGGGGGCTCAGATGGGTCTCCTGGGGACTGTGCAATCTTGGGTTTTGTTTCCTGAACCGAGGCTGGCCTCTCTCTGCCATTGGATTGGTGAGCTCTATAGAGGATCTTCTACTGCCACTTTCACTTTAGTTTTCTGGTTCTATTTCCCTGCTCAGCTTTTTCTTTTTTCTTTTCTTTTTTTTCTTTTCTCTTTAAATTATACAGGGGATCTCTTGTAAACATTTCTTTCAGGGAAGATTTGTTAGAGGACCACTTCTTCAGCTTTTGTTTGTCTGGGAAGAACATTTTTACTCTCTTGTCTCTGTAGGAGAATCCTGCAGGTTAGGATATTTGTGACCCGTATATTTTATCTCTATTCTGAATGCATTATTTCATCCTCTCCTTGCACTACAGTCCTCCAGAAATGTAAGTTGGGTCCATTCCCACATATGCACGGTCCATGACAGAAACTTGTTAAGAGGTGCTGGGATCTGGACCTCATCCTGGTGCGGTTACCTGAGCGTTCTGAAAGGACAACTCTACAAGACTTTCCATGAAAACCAGCATCAGGAACATCATTGGTACACTCTACCTATAGACTAGAGAGAGCGAGAAATTGGAGAAAGATGAAAATTTCCATAGAAAGCAGTCCAATAAATCCAGAAAAGAAACTTATTATATAAGGAAAAGAAAGCCAAGATCACCCATTTTCTGGGGCACACGGACCATAGGGAAAGCTTTTGGTATGGGGACCTGGCAAGACTCTTGTGTATTGTTGGAGTGCTATGCAAGAAATCCCAGGTCCAGACATGCAAATGAGCCCTCTTACTTTCCTTTTGCTTTATGAACTGAATGTGTATATTATTGTAAAATAGTCTCCTTTGTGGGCCTCCCCTGGTGGTGCAGCGGTTGAGCGATGGGTTGTGAAGCTGCCCACAGCCTCCGCAGTGCTGGTTTGATCCCCGGCCGCCAGAAGGGTCCCACATGGCGCGCAGACCTCTCCTGCCACCCGCTGCTCCCCTCAGCAGTGTACTTCCTCAGCCTGCCTGTTCTGCTCCCCGCTCTGGCTCTGGCGAATTCTCTTACCCTCCCGTGCTTCTGACTGTACCCAGTGCCTATATAAATAAATAAATAAATCTTAAAAAAAATAATCTCCTTTGTACTCACTGAGTATTTATGCTGGGAGAAAAAGATGAATATGTCAGGGGCTATCAGCAAACATTTCTATTTTAAAGCCATTTCAGTGACTCATACAGGGCTGCCACCATATAAGGCCAAATGTGGCATTTACTCTATGATGCTAATTAATTTCATGCATGTTTGCCTGGGGCATTATTTCTTTTCCCTGGATGTTCCTATAAGATTCAGAATTGAGAATATTATTCATTGTACACAAAAATATAAAGGGTCTTTGCAATGCAGTCAAATATAAATGACATTTTAGGGTATCTTCACTGTGAATGTTACATGAATCTCAAAGTCAAAAATCTGTTCACCTTATTAATTCAAGCATTCACCTTAATTCAAGCATTTTCTACATGGATATAGACTATTGAGTTCAATTCTTTCCTGTTTAGTGAGATGAGCTCTATATACTGACCTTGTTTTTGCAGATTTATTTCATTCTATTGTTCCCAATATGAGTTAATTTGCATTTTGGGGCTTTATATGTACCTAGTTGGCCAGAAAATTGAGCAGGCAAAATATAAACAGACCAAAAAACCCCACAAAACCTGCAACAAAAACACCCTCTTACGTTCAGAACAATTGAATGGCAATATTTCTCTATATTAAAGACAAGAAGCTACCTATAAATCCTTTTTCAATTCCATAATAGTTATAGCCTGAAATTAGTGATGCAAAAGTAGCTTTCCCAGTTCCTGTACAGTTATGAGTGATCATGTGACTCGTTCTTCCCAATACAAAGTGAACAAATGTGACAGATGTTACCTATGGACATAATAAGAAGCTCATGTTCCTTCTCAATGACCTTTTAGTCCACATCCAAAGAATTGATGTAATATACTATGATATTATCTAGGATAATTGATCTGTGAGTCAGAGGTTGCTAGTATTCTTATAAGACCAAGCAGGAAAAAAATGGTTGGTTCAAGAGAACTGTTCTAAGAAAGAATTCATAAGAAAGAATTTTTTATTCTGTTGAACTGTTGCATTTGGATTTAATGATCACCACAATCTTGTGGGTCTTCACTAATCTTTACAATATATATACTTTCTGCTATTGCTTATAAATCTTTAAGATTTCCAGAAATCCCAGTCTATATATATCCCTAGGAGCTTCTGTAATTTCACCTACTTTTCAATCAAGTGCACATACTTTGTGGGTATTTCAATGTGCTAAAGACTTTACTTTGGGGGTGGGGGGCAGAATGTCATACATATTGGTACGGAATGAAATTTTTACTGGAACGATAACTATGACATTAACAATGCATGGCGATAAGTAGTGATTTTACCACTTCTAAAAGCAGAAATACATCCCCTTAAATTTAGCCAATATTATTTGTTGTGCCCATGAACATTATCCAACAGGTTTGATGACACTGCACTTCCTGCCTTCATATTCAGACAGTGAAAGCTATTTCAAGGGACAAGTGTTTTAGATGAAAAGGAACAGGTAGGAAATAAAAGTGTAATGCAAATCTAGACCCATAATTGGATAGTTGACAGCTGCATGTCTGCAGGAAAAAAAAGAGTCAATATTTTCTGTGAGGATAGATTGAAATGGGATTAAAGTACAGCTGGATTTTATCTGATGCTCCGTAACAGTACACATATCTCTCAGACGTAAAAGAAGTATCTGGATGAGTCTGACGATTTAGACTAATCAGTAATCACAAATTCTATCACTTTTCTTTGTATATAAATATTGATAATTTTCATGTAGCTAACGTGGCATTTCAGAAATAAGAATGTGTTGCTCACTACTGTTGAATAGATTCCGATTTGCTCAATGATGCCTGTGTGATGACTTCTTTAAAACCTTACTAAAATGATGTACACAATTCGTGATATTTTTACTAGACTGAGAAAGATATGACTCCGTGATCTCAAGGACTGTGAATTTTGAATGGTACTACACTCAGATTCTTCTAGAAATTTCCTAATTATGTTTATATATTACCTTGATCAATATGTTTTCAATGTTATTCAGAAGAAAATAGACCTTTTATTTACATATATATAAAAAATATACTTTTCAAGAAACTGTTAATTAACTGTTAATTAACAATTAACTGTTCTTCCATCAACATTCAGTTAATCTTATTTATTCAATAAATTCAATCCCCAAATACTTTTTTGGTTTTATGTTTGTCAGGCAGAATCGTATGTTCATTTTTATTATATTCCTATGCATAATGTGAAAGTTACTGGCAGAATGCAGAGGTAATTCATATGAGGAAAAGTTTTCTGGGGGTGGAGCATGGGGTGAGACATTCTTATTTAAAAAACACAAGAGGGGACCTCCCTGGTGGCTCAGTGGTTGAGCTCTGGGTTGCGAAGCTGCCTGAGGCCTCTGCAGTGCTGGTTCGATCCCCGGCTGCTCCCTGGCCACCGGAAGAGGGTCCCACATGGTGCGCAGACCTCTCCTGCCGCCCGCTGCTCCCTCAGCAATGTACTTCGGTCCTTCTGCCTTCTCTGCTCCCTGCTCTGGCTCTGGTGAATTCTCTCACCCTCTCGCACTTCTGACTGTACCCAGTGCTTGTATAAATAAATAAATCTAAAAAAAAAAAAAGAAAAAGAAAGAAGAGAGCTGGGCTTGAGTCCAGATCTTAAAAATAAATAAATAAATAAATAAATAAATAAACACAAGAAACTCTTAGTGTCATCCTGCAAATGCTGTGAAAGCTAAAAACAAGGATTATGTTGCTATACATTACCCTAAGGACAAAGACTGAAATTTAGCCTGGCCCACAGACCCTGGATCATCTGTACTCCATCCCCCTTCCTTTAAATAAACAAAAAGATATACCCAGCTCATGGGTTGGAGGAGTCAGCATTGTCAAAATGGACATCCAACCCAAAGCAATTTAGAGATTCAATGCAATCCCAATAAAAATCCCAATGTTGTTCTTCAAAGAAATAGAACAAAGATTAATGAAGTTCATCAGAAAACACAAAAGACCCCAAATAGCCAAAGCTTTCCTGATATCAAAGGGGGGAAATGAAGGTATATCACACTTCTGATTTCCAACTATATGCTAAAGCCAGAGTAGTTAAAGCAGCATGGCAATGGAACAAAACCAGACACAGAGACTTATGGAACAGAATTGAGAGCCCAGAAATAAAACCACATTTATGGACAATTAACATACAAGAAGGAGCAAAGTCCATACACTGGAACAAGGAAAGCCTCTTCAATAAAGGGTGCTGGAAAAATGGACTGACACATGTAAAATGATGAAACTAGATCATTACCTCACAGTACACATGAAAATCAATTCAAAATGGATAAAAGACTTGGATATAAGACCTGAAATCATCAAACATATAGAGAAAAACCTATGTAAAACGCTCTCTAACATCAATCTCACAAACATATGAAGGAGAGAGGAAACAACGGATACTATATCAAACTAAAAGTTTTCTGTACAGCAAAAAAGACAGTGACCCAAACAAAGAGACACCGTCTGAATAGGAGAACACACCTGCACACCCTACTTCTGATGAAGAATTTATATCAAAGATCACAAAGTACCTATACAAATCAACAATATGAAAACAACATAATCAAAAATGGGAAAAGGATCTAAACAATCACTTCCCTAAAGAAGACATGCAGATGGCCAACAGGCACATGAAAAAATTCTCTTTCTCATTTATCTTCAGAGCAATGCAAACCAAACCATCATGAGACACCACCTCACACCTGTGAGAATGGCCCACAGTTAAAAAACACACAAACAACAAGTGCTGCAGACGATGTGGAGAAAAGGACCCTCTCACGCTGTTGGTGGGCGTGTGAACTAGTCCAGCCACTATGGAAAGAAGTGTGGAGATGCCTGAAAAGACTGAAAATGGATCTTCCACATGACCTAGCAGTTCCACACCTCGGTATCTACCCAAACAGCACAAAAGAGGGGCCTTCCTGGTGTTGCAAGGGGTTAGTCTCAGCACTGTGACGCTGTCCGCAGCCACTGCAGCACAAATCACCCTGGCCAAGGAGGTGACCCACTAGGCACAGCGGACCTCTCCTCTCTCCCCGCTGCTCCCGTCCACTCCCCTCAGCATTGTACTTGAGTAGACCCAGCTGTTCTGCTCCCCACTCTGTCTTGGTTTGTACTGTCACCTGTGCCTTCCACACCTCTGGCCTGCACCCCAGCTGCTGTATGCATAAATAAATAAATCTTACCAAAAAAACCAAGAGCACAAATGCACTAATCTGAAAGGAAACCTGTGCTCCTATGCTCACTGCAGCACTATTTACACTAGCCAAGATGTGGAAACAACCTATATGCAGCAGGACAGATGGGGGGAACAGGATGGGATCTGTAGACACAACGGGACACTACTCTGCGATAGAAAAATGATAAACTCAAGCCGATTGCAGCAACACGGATGGAGCTGAAGGGATGACTCTAAGCAAAGTGAGCCAGAAGGAGAAAGATAAACACCGGATGGTCTCACTTACATGTGGAGTCTAGACAAACCAAACATAGAATCAGACAGAGACAAACCGTAAATGGACCCTTGACAACACACTGTGAGTCTGAGACTCTCAGGACCGTTAGGGGGAGGGGGAAGAAAGGGCAACAGTATAGAAGTGGGGGCAGGAGGAGCGAAGGAACGTGGGGCTAGCAAGGAAGGGAGGACAGGAGGACACTTTTCAAAGAGCACACGGATCATCCTCTAGGATCAGTCACATACTGGGTCACCAGACAAACAGCAACAAGCACATGAAAACTGAAATCATCCCAGGGTGTTCTCTGACCATAAAGGCATCAAGCTAGAAGTCAACTATGCAATGAGCATGGAACCCCCACTCTACATGGAATGGAACAACACGCAACTGAGCGACCACTGCATTCATGATGACATCGAAGAAAAAATTAAAAAGGGCCTTGAATGACTGAAAATGAGGAAATAACTTTTCAGAAGGTCTGGGGAACAGCAAAAGCAGTATTAAGAGGAAAGCATAGAATAACTCAGGACCACATCAAGAAACAAGAAAAACAAACAAACAAAAAAAACCCCCTGATCCCCCATCTTGAAGAACTAGAAAAAGAACAAAACAAAACCCCAAAAAGCAGTAGGAGAAGGGAAATAACAAAAGATAAAGCAGAACTAACTGAAATAGAAATAAAAGACAGTCCAACAGATCCATGAAACCAAAAGCTGGTTCTCTGAAAACATAAGTAAAACGTACTAACCTCTAGCAAGAAAACTAACCTCACAACGAAAAAAGGGAGAACAATCAAAATAAACAGGACCAAAAATGAAAGAGAAGAAATCAAAACAGACACAGCAGACAGGAACTGTGGTCAGGAAAAAGACACATCCTGGGTCACACAAACACACAATCCGAGATCATGACGCACGTCTATATGCAGACAAGGTCAACCATCTGGATGAGATGGACAGATTCTGAAGCTAACAAACAGTGGTGCCCAGCATCTGGGAGGTGGCCCACCCGTGTATGAAGACAACTTGGAAGTGGGCTTGGCATCCTCTACTCAGGGGAAAACCATCAGTGGGTTGGAGGTGAGGAGGGTGGGACACACTTCCTGAGAAACTCTGGCCAAAGACAAGGTATACAGAGAGATGGAAGTGGCGGTACTGACATAGAGCATGACTGGCCGGGATTCCCAATATCTGACATTATCTTAAAGATCAAGGACAGGGAAATAAGCACAGGCCAGGACTGCATGGTGCCTGGGGACAGCTGCTGGGACGAGCTGCCCTTCCGGTGAAGCGCTGACTCATGGCAACAGGAGCACCCCGACTGACCTGACACCCTGGGCAGGCTGGCTCCATCCTGGGCTAGAGGATTTCTTCAACACAACGGGGTGACAAGTACTTGGTCTTTCTTTTATTAAAATAATTTACTTTCTGCTCCCTGGCATTACTAATAAAATATCTTAAATGAAAAAAAAGATCAAATGTCAGCATCAAGTAACAGGAAAAAAACATCAAGTTTCGGGCCTCCTTGGTGGCCTAGGGGTAAGCCTCGGCGCTCCCACTGCAACCGCCCACCTCGATGGCCTGAGTTCTGTCCCCCGCCAGGGAGCTGACCTCTCCCGTCTGAACGCTGCTCAAGCAGTGTATTTCAACAATCCCCTTTTTGCTCCCCACTCTGGGGAGTCCTCTCACCCCCAACTCTTGCCTACACCCCAGTTCTATATGCATTAATAAAACTACATCTATAAAAAAACTCAAGCTTGAAGGGGAGTTGGGGTTTCGGGGGAATATACTCACTGGGCAGCAGGCTGAGCACCCAGCAGGGCCTGGCCGCCAGGCCCAGCACAGGAAGGTGAGGGGCACGCGGCCTCCCCTCTTCACCAGGTAAGGACCGTGGAGGACAGCAAATCAGGGGGCGCTTACAGGTTAGATTTCAACCTGCTGCTTACCAGAGGCTGGGCTGATACCGCAGGCGTTTGCATCGGGTGCGGGGCGTGAGCCCATGTGGGCCGCAGTGAAGACATTCGGGTTCTACAAGGTGCCCCTTAGACAGGAGGACTGTCTTTACTGGGCATTTCTGGAATCAGATGGGGGGCTCTGGAATCAGATGGGGGTGGAGGTTGCCCTTTTGCAAGACACATTCTGGGAATACAGGGACACCCCATCTGGGCTGAGGCTCCGGGTTCTCACCTGAGTGCGCTGCCAGACCTCTCCATCCCTCTCAGAGGCGGCGCCACCCCAGCCCCGGCTGCTGGGCTTCCCGCGCCCCCAGCGCTGACCCCCGTCCTCCGCCCCGTCCACAGTGAAGATGTTATTGAGCAGGGGCCGAGGCCATGTTGGCGGCCACTGTTTTCCTGGGTCTCCCCGGGGGTGCGAGGGGGAGTCCATGCTGGCCCAGATGTGCTTCCTCCCACTCACAGGCCTTCATCACAGGTGTCCGTCAGGAGCCGCAGGGCAGAGGGGATCACTGTCCCTCCGTCCAGGGTCCCGGCGCGCCCGGGGAGCCCCCAATGGGCTTCAGCAGGGGTCACGGGCCGGCCTGAAGGAAGGGTGACCCAGGTGGGGAGTCTCACCCGTGCGGGGATCCAGGCGCGGCCCAAGCCAGCAGACCCATCCCCCGAGCTCCTCTCAACCCCCTCCCAGCTCTGCGCCCCTTCAGGGGGCGCGGCAGGGGCCTGGACCCCCCTTTGCAGTCAGTGCGCTGTGTGTCCCCGCCATCGCACCAGCCAGATGAGGGCGCGGCCAGAAGCAAGGGGGACTCGACGACCCCGCGTCCTGGGTCTCCAGGGTCTGGTGGCTCCGCCTCCCCCGTCCCCCAAGCCCCCCACCCCCACGCCAGCAGCCCAGGTCAGGGTCCGGGCACAGGGGCACCGGGCGCAGAGAAACCCCTCTGCCCCCGCGGGCCATGCAGCCGGCTCCGGGGCCCCGCGCTTCTCTGCCTTAGTTCCCCCAGGACCCTCCAGCGTCCCTCTGCCCCGTTCATGGGCCCCCCTCTAAGGGCTGCACCTCGTCACATGGACACACGGGGTCCTCACCCGCCCCCGAGGGTCTCCGTGCTGGGCAACAGGGTCACGTGTAAAGATTTTTATCCGTATTTCAGCA